TCCATCCTCAAAGTGAACATGGGCAGGAGAATATCTGACGGCAGCAGAGGAATCTGAATTGGGTCACGCACAGACGCAAAGAGAGGAGCCCGTGGGGAATTCGCATCCCGGCGTTTCTGATTTCGCACGAGATCAGCTGAGATTGACTTAGTCTGGAGCAGCTCTCCTCAGAAAAGGGCCTGGGGAGCTTTTTCTGTACACAGACTCCTGTCAGTGGCTCTGCCTGGGCCCAAGAGAAGTGCAGGGACAGAGCGGGTGGCTGCTGGAGGAGTTGGGGCTTCTCAGACAGCTGCTCCGTGGGCTGGAGTGCTAGGAGGGCTTGCTTTTCTGAAGCCTGACACGGTTGCTCTTTTGAGTTGAGGGAGAGGCCCCCCCACCTTTTTTACTCTCCCTGGGGTTTCTCTAGGGTCTCAGACCAGAGGAACATGGCCATTTCTAACCATCTTCTCTGCAAGGAAGGCCATGGACCCACCTGTCTCTAAGACTAACAGAGCCCCATTCTCCTCACCTGAGACTGGGAGACCTGCGGAGGCTCTGTGTGTGTGTGTGTGTGTGTGTGTGTGTGTGTGTGCATGCAGGAAGGGGCATCTGACTACACACTGAAGATACGCTTCAAGTCCCGCCCCCAGCGTGTATTCCCTAAAACCCATTCCTGCCCCATCTTCCCCCTGCCTTTCCCCCTCTCCTTTGCCTTAATTCCCCTGCCAATCCCTTTAGGTCTGTTTCCTTTCCTCCAACTGTTCACTCTCAGCAAAGACATGTAACTGAGACCCATTCCCAGAGAAGACGGCCCATCTTCCTTTCTTAAAAAGATCAGCTGCCTGATTTCCTTTGGGCCCGCTGCCATATTTCTTTTGTATTTCGTTCATTCTCCAGACTCAGTGATAAGCACGGGAACTATTTAAAGGGGAGAAGGGAGGTTCTCCTTAAGGACCTAATCAAAGGACAAGATGGACGGTGCCTGCTGGAGAGAATGAGACAGCGTGGGATGAGGGCGGGTGCCACGGTGGATGTGCAGGGATGTTCCCGTGAGCCCAGCAGGGTCTGGTGGGAAGAGCTCTGGTTAGGAGCCCGGGGAACGAGGTTAAAGTTCCAGCATCTTTGCAGAGCTCCTGAGAGACCTCAGGTGAGTTGCTTCCCTCTCTGAGCATGAGTTGACTCACCATACAATGGATGGAAAGGCCAGAATCACTCATCTCTCAATTGCCTTCCAGCTTGAATTATAAATTCTGTGGGGATGGAAATGGGCTAAGGAATTGAACTTGGTTTCCTCATGGTTAGCAACTTTTTTTTTTTTTAAAGTTACCGTTTCTTAAACATCTCCCAAAGATTACCAACAACGCATATGTAAGTTTTTCTAAGCGTTTTACATATATGGATTTGTTGCCTTCCACAACAATCCGAGGACATAGGTACCATTAATATCCCTATTATACAGATTAAGAAACTGAGGTACAGAGAGGCTAAGTAACCAGCCCAGGTAGTGGAGCCGGGGTTCAAACCAGGCAGTCTGGCTGCAAAGTCCCCATTCCTTACCACCACACTCAATATTCCAGGCATTGTGCTAAGTGTTTATACAAATCCTTTCCATTTTGCAGTTGAGAAATCCAAGACTCAGAGCAGTTGAGCAACAGCTGAAGGTCACACAGCTGGGAAGCAGTAGAGATGAGATTCCAAGTCGGCAGAGCTCCAGAGTCTCTGCTCTCCCCCACACCCTCCTGCAACCCTGCCAGACGCTCAGGCTCCCAAAGCAAGTTTAACCAATATCCCTACGTTGCAACGGCTCTTCAGGCAAGTCAGCTTCTCCCCCCTGGGCCTCAGTTTCACCATCTAGAAAATGACTGGGGGATTGGCCCAGCTGATCTTTGAGGTCCCTTGGAGCTCTGTGAGTCTGTGATGAGAAAGGTGTGGTGCTTCTAGCTGAAAGGGCAGATCTGTGGACTGGGAATGCCTTGGGCTTGACCTGGGGTTGCAGCCAGCAAGGATGAGGGAGACGAGGGCCTGGGGAATGACATGAAAAGGAAATTTCAGGTGACTGGAGCAGGCTTATGGCTGTGAACCCGGGAAGAGGGGGCAGATGTATGAAGCCGGTAAGAAAAGAAGAGAGAAGCCCTGGGTGAGCCTCTCAGGGGGCCTTTTCCTTCTTACCAGGGGGTCACCCCAAGCTCAAGATGGGCACGTGAGCGCCTTGGGCAGGGGAGCAGGGATCAGGCCAGCACCGAGCCGAGGTCAGAACTTCTGAGACACAGCAGTTGGAGGGAATGAACATTGCTGGGGGTTTTGTTTTCTCTGTAAATATTTGGAGATGTCCAGTTATTCTAGAAAAATGTATCAGCAGCTGAGGTGGCGCGTTGGCGCGGTTGGCCTGGCTGCCTTTTCCATGACTGCTGTTACATTCCTCCCCTTCAGGAACCGACTGTTTTCCCATCTGTAACCTCATTAGGATGTCCACACCAGCGGGCGCCACACGCACACGCGCTCCGGCAGGTTCCCCTCGGGGACACACACGCACGCTGGCATCGCCCCCTGGCCACATGCTCACGCACACAGTGGCAGCTGTGCCTTTTAATATTTAATGCCGTTGCTGCGAACGCTGCTCCACGCTGACTGCATCCGTGCCAGGCTCATTCCTCTCAGGGCACCGATTCCCGGCTTGGAGACCAGCTGACAAATCTTGTTAAAAACCTTCCAGCCCAGTGCATCTCTCGGAGGAGGGTAATGTCACGTTCTTGCGAGATGAGAGAATGGGCGTCATTACCAGGCAGCTTCATTTTCAATGAGGCTCTTTCCACTTGGGGAAATTGATGGAATCACCTATTGCGTGAGTGTCTCAGCCCTCCCTCTAGTTCCCCCCAGGCCAGAGCTATTGCAGCTCTGGGTCCTTCAGACCCCTCTCGATGCATTGCAGGTTGGACTGACCTCCTTTCTGGCTTGCAGAAGTCACGGCTCTGGGTGGGCACCAAGGCACGAAATGACATGAACAGCTGGCCTGTGTGGGGGCCTGTGTCTGTCCCTCTCTCCCTACTCCTCCACAGTTGGTAGCCACACTATGGTTTGAACGTATGTATCTTTCCAACATTCATATGTTGGAACATAAACCCCAAGGCAATGGTATGAGAAGTCGGGGGGGCCTTTGGGAGGTGATTAGGTCATGAAGGCTCCACCCTTGTGAATGGGATTAATGCTCTTATAGCAATAAAGGAGCAGGAGGGAACTAGTTCGGCTCATTGTGATCTTCCACGCTTCTACCATGTGAGGACACAGCGTTTGTCCCCTCCAGAGGGCACAGCAAGGCCCCATCTCGGAAGCAGAGAGAGCCTGCACAAGACACTGAATCTGTTGGCGTCTTGATCTTGGACTTCCCATCCTCTAAAACTGTGAGAAATACATTTCTATGGTTTATAAATTACTCCATTGGTGGCATTTTGTTGTAGCAGCAGGAAGGGACTATGACATACACTGTGGAGGCCACTGCTGCTACAGTGGCCAGCAGAGAGCGTCATGGGTGGTTCCAGCTCTCATGCAGCCAGCAAAGGGTCCCATCCCTGACCCCTAGTCTGGCATGCTGTGGTCTCTGAGCCCACAGAAAGGCCCTCCCTCCAAACCCCAGCTTTCAGAGTCTAAGGGGCTGGCAAAAGGTCAAGGGCTCTAGTTCTGGGCTGAGCTGGGACAGGTGTGCAAGAGCTGCTAAATGCAGAGTCCCCAGGTATCGAGGTTACCTGGACAACGTGGTCTTCCCAAAGCTGCAGTAGGATCGGCATGTCCGGTTCAGTGCTGACTGTGCAGGCTTGGGGCCTATCCCATGAACTCTGGAAGGGTATTTGTAAGATGGACCTCCTGTCCTCAACCTCTTTCTACCTTTTAGCGTCTTGGTCCTCTGTCATCGGATGGGCTCAGAGCATTCCTGAGCTAAGAACCTCTGTGGTTCTGAGCGTCTCTAAGAAACGAGGCCTGGGGGGAGGGCAGGGAGGAGGGGAGACGGGACGGTCAGGTGGGGTGTGGGGGTTTGCAAAACAAAGACACTCATTTGCCATTTACCGAAGACTTTTGTTTTCTTTTTCTTTTAAAGCTGTTGTTTCCTCAAGGGAAAACTTTATTCGTGTGTGGGTAAAATGTTGCTCTCTTAACGAATCGAAAGCAGAACATGAGGAGAGGTTTTCAGTCCCTGTGACAAAGAACAAAGAACGTGGGCCTTGGGTGGCCACTGTCACCCTCCCCGCCTTTGACATTTCCCTGTCCTCTCCTCCCATCCCAGTGGAGCCAAGAGCTGAGTGCATGTCATCCCCACTCTGGAGCCCAGAGCGTGGCTTTGGTTAAGCAGAGGCAGCCGGCCTGGCCTGCAGGAAACACCGCACTCTCCCCTGTTGAGAGCCTGGGAGGGCACTGCGGCAAGTGAGGGAATGAGTGTGCTTTTAGGGCGGTGTGGCAGCTGCCATTCCTGCTGGCTCGGAGGACAGTGGAGAAAGTGATGGACGGAGGGGTTCAGAGAGTTTGTCTGACCAGCTGATGTCCGCTTTTCCTCACCAAGCCAAGAAGTCTCCCCACTATCTCTGGTCTTGGAGACAAGGCCTGGTTTTCGGAAGAGCTGGTCTGAGCATTTGAGTCTGTGGGAGGCCGGAAGAAGGTTCATTCGGAGGACTCATCAGGCCACTCCCACACTCCTCGCACTCACCCTCCTCGGCCCCTTCACCCCAGCAGGTGGGAACCCGTTCTGGACTTTCACTTTCAGTATTTGGTTTAGGGGACAATAATAGCCTCTGTTTCCCAGTGTTGTCTGTCTGGTGTTAGCTTATCGGCCCTGTCTTTTTTCAGCGTTGGTTGAGGTAGCTGGGACTGGGGTGAAGCTATCTTCTGGAGCAGGGGCTTGTACTCTGAGGGGAGAGCTGCTTTTCCCTGAGCAGCTTTTGGCAGGGGGATGTCCTGAGTCATTGCATCTGCTCCCTGTCCCCACCCCAGGGACCCTGGGAGAGGTCCCTCTCTAGTCCAGGCAGAAGAGTCGCCTATGGGGAGAAGGTGGTGGTGGTCTCGGCCTCCACGCTCATGGAGGAGCGCCGGATGTGCCGACAGGAAGACCACTGCCGGAGCTGCTCCTGGCTGAGGCAGCCCAGGTCCTTGAAGAGCTTGAAGAGGTCGTTGCGGAACTTGACACCGATGAAGGCGTACAAGAAAGGGTTGACGCAGCAGCGGACGCAGGCCAGGCTGTAGGTGACGTCGTAGGCGATGTTGAGCTGCTTACTGAGCTCACAGGTGCTGCTGGTGATGTTGAAGTTGGCCACCGTCTGGGCCAGGACCACCCCATTGTAGGGCAGCTGGAAGACGATGAAGACCACGACCACGGCAATGATCACCTTGATGGCCTTGTTGCGCTCAAAGTTGCGCGCCTGGAGCAGGGTGCGGATGATGACAAGGTAACAGAAGCTCATGGCCAGCAGGGGGACCAGAAAGCCGATCACCATCTGGGCCACCTGGATGGTGATAAAGGCCTCCACATGCTCTGTGATGAGAGAGCATCGCATCGCTTGCTCACTGCTGCTCCTCTGGAGGCCGCTGTACAGGAGCTCCGGGATGGAGAGCACTGTGGCTAGTATCCAGATGCCCACACAGGACAGCTTGCTGATGAGGAGGACGCGGGCACGGTGGCGGTGAGCTGAGACTGCCTGGACGATGGCCACATAGCGGTCAATGCTGATGCAAAGAAGTAGGAGCATGCCGCTGAAGAAGCTCATCTTGTAGATGGCAAAGATGAGCTTGCAAAAGTGGACACCGAAGACCCAGGACTTGGCCGCGCTGTAGGCCCAGAAGGGAAGGGTCAGGAGGAAGAGGATGTCTGCCACCGCCAGGTTGAGCAGGTAGGTATCGGTCATGGTCTTGAGCCTCTTGAAATAGATATAGGTCAGCACGACCAGTCCGTTGCCCAGTAGGCCCACGAAACAAATGATGGAGTACATGATAGGGAGGAACCAGGCTTTAAAGTTCCGCACATCCTTCTTGGAGCATAAAGACTCGAACAAAGTGTAGTCCACTGTGGTGTTGTCTCCGATGTAATCGTCCGTGACCTCATCTTGACACAGGCATACCTTCAGGGAAGGAAATGAGGGAAAACAGGCCAGGTTAGCTGAGTGGCTCCAACTCTGGCTGGGATTTAGCCTAGAGCAATGGTTTCTCTCTTTTTTTTTTCTTGAGACATGGTCTCACTCTGTTGCCCAGGCTGGAGTGCAGTGGTGCAGTCATGGCTCCCTGCAGCCTCGGCCTCTCCAGGCTCAGGTGATCCTCCCACTTCAGCCTCCTGAGTAGCTGGGACCACAGCCTTACGCCACCAAACCCAGCGAATTTTTGTATTTTTAGTGGAGGTGGGATTTTGCCATGTTGCCCAGGTGGGAGGAATAGTGGTTTCATTGTGAGGTCCACATCATCAGTATCACAGCGTCACCTGGGAACTTGTTAGGACTGCAAATTCTCAGGCCCCACTTGAACCAGAATCTCAGGTGATGGGCTTAGGAATCTGTGTTTGCCTAAAGTCTCCAGGTGATTCTTTGGTTTGAAATCAGTGCTTCTCAAATTTTAACTCCAATACACATCACCTGGTTAATCCCGTGAACATGTCTATCCTAAATCAGTAGGCTGAGGTGGGGCCTGAGATTCTACAGTTCTGCTAATAAGTAGCAAGTGGCTGATTTTGCCAAGTCTGAGAGACTCTACATGTGCTGACTGGGGACTGGAAATTGGTGGGGCTCTGGGAGCCCAGATGAGCCTTGAGCTGGTTAAACTCTCTCTCTCTCTCAGAGCCTCAGTTTTCTCTTCTGTGAAATGGAGATGAATCCTATTGGCTTCACATGGTTGCTGTGAGGTACCTAGCCCAGGTTCCAGCACCATTTCCTCTCCATGGAGCTTTAATTTTGCCCTCGGGGAGCTCTGTGAGAGTGGGAACATGTGTCTTTCTTCTTGACCCTCCTTTAGAACTTGGCGGAGTTTTCCAGGGGGCTTACAAAAGACCTCAGCTTTAGGGGGAAAATCCACCTGGGGGTCAAGGTTGAGGAGGGCCTGGAGTGAGAAGAGAGGAGGGCAAGTGCTCCCATTTTGAGGCCATGAAGCCTTGGGTTTGGGGCGATCTGCTGTGATCACGGGTGGTGGGTGACCTGGAGAGACTCTAGATCCTGGGGCTGCTCTTAGCACCCAGCAGGAGCTCAGGCAACGTGAGCCCAAGTGCCATAAAGACTGTGAATGGATGATGGGCCACAGGGGTGGAGGCGAGGCCTCCTCAGCAGCTGTGTCCCTGGAAGGAAGCGCGGCTCTCGTCTCCCACTCTCCCTCTGTGCTCCCGCCCTCTCCTCCCACCTCTCTGCCTCTCTCTTCCTCGCATCTCTTCCGGCAGATCCCAATCAGCAGGACTCAGCTGCTGGAGCTTTTTTTAGCCTGTCTGCAGGGCCGGGTGAAGGTTCAGCAGCCTGCTGTGATTTTATCAATGAAGGAGGGGGCCCACGCCTGCCCGTGCCTCTGCGCACAGCGATGGACGGGCTCGTGCAGGGCAGGGAGCTGGGCTGGAGGACCTGCCTCGCGAGGCTCATGGTTCTATCTCCAGGAACCAGATTCAGCAGCTCAGCGACGATGGGTTTCTACGCATTTGTGCTGGAGGGATTCACCGCATCGTGTCTCTATCTCTTTTTTACATCCAAGTTCTGGATTCATCACTGTCCTGCTCGGGAACAGGGTGAGGACAAAATGATGTCCAGGAGCCTTTTCTTTGGCCATTGCTAGCCTGAGACGAAAAGTCAGCGGCAACCCCTCTTCCCTCTCCTGGGCATGGCTGCAGCCTGGGAGCCCTGAAGGAGGCTGCTGCCATTGGCCCAGCCATGGTTACGGCCCAAGGCCTTAGACTCCGGGTCCCTGGACATGAGGGGGTCTCAGCCTTCCTGGAGGGCGGTATTCCCGGCCTCTATGAAGTGCACTCTTCATCATCCAGTCCTGCCTTCCCGTCTCCCCATGAACCTTGTTCCTGTTTTATAATTCCCCCTCCCCCAGCCTCACTGCCTCTGCAGCCCACAGCCCCACCACATCCTGCCCTGTCTGAGCACCCCCTCCTCAAGTGAAAGGGAGGAATGAGCCTCAGCTGTCCTCCTCCCCGCCCCAACCTTCCAGCCTCCACTGCCAGCAGCACAGCCCCCCAGATCCTGGAGACAGGGGAGAGAGAGGAGGGAGTGGTGATGGGGAAGGGGCCAGGCTGTGGGCTGCAGCCCAGGCTCCGGGGGCCTCCGGGATGGGGTTTTGGGAAGAGTGCCCAGTTTGGGGCCTGCCTCTGGCCTGAGCTTCTGGAAGGCTGCCCGTCTGGCCTCCAGACCTGGGGACGAGCCGAATTCTGAAGCACTGACTCGCTCGCTCTGGCCTCAGCGGGACTCCCCGGCCCCCACTCTGAGCTCCCACATCTAACAAATGGGGGAAAGTTGACTCTGCGAGTTATGGTTTCCTCTAATTTTGGCACTTGGTGAGGTACACTTTCTGTCTGTTTCTGGATTGAGAAACAGAGCTTTGTAAAGTGAGGGTCTTTGTTCCTGCCGAGTTCAGGCCTGCTATAAAGTATGTGCTCATCCGCCCCTCTCCTCATCCCTAGGGCCCCATCCTCTCTTCCCTCCCCTGCCAGGGAGGCCAGATGGGTCTCCATTTCACCAAAGAAAAAGGGGGCTGCGAGGGGAGCCTTTGGGTGAAGGTTGGAAAGAGACAACCTTGGGGCGATAGGATAGTAACAAGATCTCCAGATCCAGGGTGATTTTCTCAGCACACACGCACAAAACCGAGTAACCATTTTTGCAGCTCTTCTCTCTAAGAGAATTCTCATGTTTCTGTCTCCTGGGCAGGGAGATTGGAGGTGGGATAGGGAAGGTGGCAAGTTATTTTCCCCCATGTTTTAATCTAAATGGAGTAAAGGAAGTCCAGAGAACATCTGTGGCTCTCCAGGGTCACTCAGCAGATGGTGAGGGGACAGCCATTAGCTTAATGAATGGCAGGCGGGCTTATGTCTGGGTCTTGTATCTTCTAGTAAATGCCCAGTTCCTCCACTAAACCCCTGACTTGGGAGGCCGTGTGGAGAAGGGAACAGAGCTTTCCTTGGCAGGGAACCTCACCTGGAAAATGACAAGGAGAGCCACCACCAGCACGCTTTTCATTGGTTTCCCTGTAGGAGACAAGGCGAGAAAGTTATTGCTTGGCAGGGACAAGTCTTTATTATTAAAGAAAGCAGTGGAGGGGGAGACGCTGTTGGGAACTTTCCTCTCAAGCTCCAGGCACTGTCTTTGCTGAAAGAGAACATCAGAACCAGATTGTGCCTTTGAACACCTGGCCCGCTGCCCAGCATCACTGTCCTCACCTCCTTCTCGTCCTCCTCCATTCCCAGGTCCTGGAAAGCAGCAGCATCAGAATGCAGGGCAGCCCCTCCCACCCCCTGTCTTGGCCCATCTAGGCTGCTTCTTCGAGCTGGGAAGTCTTTCTAGCCCAGACCACCCCTCAAGACTGAGCTTGGTTGGTGGGTCTGAGTGCCCCCCCGACTCCACGTGATGTGGGACGAGGCAGCAAAGCTATGAGGTCGTGGGGTGGGTGCACACATTTCCAGCCTTGCTTTGGTGCTGGTAGCCACTGGCCCAGGAGCATTTTCCTGGCATCCAAGTGAGTGGGCAGCCACATGTGCATAAAGCCAGGCCTGAGTGTCTCCTGAGGGAGGCGAGCTGAGGAAGGAGGACCACCCCACAGGCTGGGTAGAGGGATGAGGTTCCTTACTGGTCCACAGCGATGGAGACTGCCTCAGGGCCCCACCAGCTCCACAACACCCCCTCACTGAAATGACATTCATTCAGCACTGACTGTTGGTCCACTGGGCCCACACCCTTGGCTTGCCTTTGGGGCAGAGATCCCTTCCCTTTCATCTGGTGCAGGCCCAGAATTGAGGAGGTGTCCCACAATTGTGTGCTGATGGATATACGAATGATACATCCATGAATGATGAACAAATACACGAATGACAAGTAAACGAATGCCTGTCCTTTTTCCAAGGGAGAGGGCATCAAGATGGCCCGAGAGGACACAGAGGGGATGCTGTCCTGTGGCAGTGTCGGGCAAGGATGCTCTTTCCTGATGTCACGACTTCTTTCTTTATTTTTTTGCTTAATTGAAGTGCCTGCATACTCTTTCTCTCCTTTAACTTGTTTTCTAACCTAGGCTTGGGGGGGCAGGTGGAAGGGGGAACAGGGTCAGCTTTGGGAAGGGACGTGTTCTGGAAGTCAGGAGGCTCCCTGGGGTCTGAGCAGCAGAAGGGGATCCCGGCTTAGCACAAGGCCCGGATGTGCTCAGTTTGGTTTTGTGGCTGAGCCTCAGGGCCATCAGGAACTTACTTCTTCTTGAGGCTAGGCAGCGAGGACAGTTGACAAAGTAATTTGCCTAGACGTCTTAGCTTACCTACAAGTCAGGGTGTCGGTGGCCCTCTTCCCGTATCCTGACCCTCGGGTCCCAGCTAGGTAGGGCCTGGCCAACTGGAGAGTCAGTAACTGCAATGCCACAAGTGAAGGCAGGCCCATGACAGCTCCAACCTCAATAGGGCCAGGAAATGCGTGGGAACCTGTTTAAGGCACCTTCTCCTGGAGGCTGGGGGCCCTATGGAGGCTGGGGAAGCAGTGAGAGCCTGGCACTTCTGTGTCCTTGGCCACAGCACCACCTGCTGGAGGCCTCCCTGCATGGCACCCAGGTTGCAGTTGTTAATGTGTTCCCCGGAAAGTGTGTAAAGCCGAGGATTCTGGGCTTGGGAGTTCCTCCGGGAAGGAGAGACTGCATCGGGCTACATAAATAAATAGGTATTTCTCCCGCCTTGAGCAAATTATCCTGTACACTACTGCTAGACATATCTTCCTAAAGCTTAGCTCTGATGCCAGTCCCTACCTCACCTTCCTCCTCAATCCTCAGGGGCTCTAACCATCCCTGAGGATGAAGCCCTTAATGCTTGGCCTGGCAGTCCAGTCCTCCACTGTCCACTCAAAGCGGGCTTCCTAGCTGCATTTTCTGTTCTGGGGACAAGCAGCCACTGTCCCCTCGTTCCCAGCCTGGGCTCAGGCATTTGCAGTCCCACTGGGATTGGACCCTGTGACAACAGAGCTCCCCACCGCACCCCTCATTCTCCTTTCTCACTGAATTACCCCTGAGCTCCTGAGTTTAAGTCCACATGTTTATACCCAACCACACTCTTCAGGGTTCAACGCTCTGCCCTTCCTCCACTGACTCATCCAGAGGTCGAGTCTCGAGGTTTCTTTAAACACGTAAATGTCTTTCAGTTACTCTAGAGAAAGCCCGCTCTGACTGTCAGGGAGAAACGAGAAACCTCAAAGTTTGATAAGTCACAACGGGTGAGATCTGAAGTAGCAAGAACTTTGTTTCTGTTTTACTCCGTTGATAACCCCTCTCCTGGGCACTGTCCCACTTCTGCTGTTCCTGTCCGGGCAGGGGAATTGGGGGAGTGATGGCGTGTGTGCCCGTGAGTTCTTGTTCCAGGTGCTTTGGAGGAGGTGGATGAGCAAGGATCTTGTAGGTCCATAACAGGTGGTTTTCAAGAAACATCACAGGGAAACTTAGGGGAACTCTCGTCTGTGGCAAAAGGGAGCCTGGTCAGTGGCCATGAGTCAAATCATCCCTGCCTGTTACAAAGTCATAAAGCAACTGGTCTGGGGCAGCAGCTTGGGGGAGACCAGTGAAGTTGGGAATCTCTGGGGCTAAGGAGTGGTTGACCTAGATGTTGGGTGTTTTCTGAGTTCTTGAGTTTTCGGTAATGATCATCATGAAAATTCCCTAGAACTCCAACCTGAGCCCCCAACATGAGAGACTCCCCATCTAGGAAAGATAATTATTGGCTGGCTGCCCCCACCTCTAAACCATGAACTTCCATCCCCACATTATTCCAGGTCCTCCAGACTGCCCAGGAAATCACAGTTGCCCAATCAGCTCTCCCTAAGAGTCACCCCAAGCTTTTTCCTCTCTGAACTTCCTCACCTGCCAACACACCTTCTCTCTCTCTCTCTCTCTCTCTCTCTCTCTCTCTCTCTCTTTTAGATAGGGGAGAGAGAGGAGAAGCAGGGAGGTAGTTAGAGGTCTAGAGATCTGGGGAATCCACTTTCAGACAGTAGGTAGGGATGGGTGAAAGCCGGATAGATCTTGCAGTTTCTATGTTATCAACTGCTGTATCTAATGAGATAATTCATATTCACTGAGCTCTCACTGCGCGCCAGACTGCCTGCACGTATGGTCTCATTTCATCCTCTCAAAAGCCCCATGAGGTAGGTGCTACTATTAACCCCGTTTACCAATGAGGAAACTGAAACACAGCAAGTAACTTTCTCAGAGTCACACAATGGCCAGCAGGGGAGCAGGCTTTGAAACTCTCCAACTCCAGAAACCACACTCCTAACCATCCTTCTCTGCTGTCACTGGGTCTGTATGTCTCTCCCTCATAACATCTCATGAGCTACCCTGGTGATCCTCATCCTAGATTCCAGAAAATAGAGGCCCAGAGAGATTAAGCCAAATGCCTGGGGTCACACAGCTGCTAAGAGAGGGACCTGAGATTTGAACGGGACAGCAAGGTTTGGGCTCTTGCTACTGCATCAGGCTGCGTTTCTGATGAGTCTGCTGTGTCTAGGATGCTCCACGGAGTGTGAAGGGAATCTTTGCTCCCCATGCCCCACTGGCCACCAGTGCTTCCTGCTTCCATCCCCCAACATCCCAGCCCCCAACAGAGCCGGCCCCACCTCTGTTCTGACACAGGGCTTTGCTGCTTCTTTGCTGCCACAGAACTCCTTCCAAAACACAAATCTCATCCTTTAACTCACCTACTTGAAAAATAAAAATCTTTGATGGTTCCCCATTGTTTTCACGATAAAGTCCGAATTCCTTAGGCATGCTGTACCACGTTTTAAGGATTGGGTCTCCTGTGCCTGCGTCCTTCCTCCCCATCTTCCTCCTTGGCATGGCCAGCTACTCCACTCTCCCCTCCGCGTGCTTCTTTCTTGTCTCTGTTACTGTTGTCTCAGCTGACCATCTACATGGCTGCAGCCTTAGTCCCCAGGACACTCTCCTTGGCAGCGTGGAGTTTTTGAAATAATGGATTTGAATGCCTTTAGGTGGGGCACTCACCCTCTGGGTTACTCTACTCCCCTCCGCTTCCTGCACCTTATGCCCCTTCCCTCTTTTACACTGTCAGCCTCTGATGGCAATGAAGTTTGCCATTCCTGCCACATCCTTGGCCCCTTGTGGCTCCTCGTTTGTTTGACAACTCCTATACACCCTTCAAAACCCACCTTAAATACCTCTCTGACCCAGGTTCACTATTCCCTTCTTGTCTTGCCCTTGCCCCGGTCAATGCTGTATCTCACTCTGTTGCAGTGGCTTCGTGACATATGTGTCACTCTCCCCACCAGACTGGTCATCCCTGAATCCCTCAAACAATAAGAGTTGACGGAATGTCCCAAGCAAAGTGGAGAGATTTTTCCAACAGCGACCCCAGGCTGCAACGTTCCTCTCCTCCCCAGCCAAGTTTCTGGCAGGCGAGAAACTGGCCTTGAATTAGCTTCAGCATCCCCCTTTGCCAGCATTTGTGTCTGAGCTGTGAGGCACATGTCTCTCATGGGTTCATTTTTCCCTTGCTTTGCTTTTGAGAACTATGAAAGATCTTTGGTCTCATTGCTCGAAGGTGGGGAGGGTGCCTCGGAGCTGCTCATTCAAACCGTGAAAAAGGCCAGCTCAGCCCCGCTTTGGAGTTTTCATTTTGTGTAACAGAAACCCTGCCTCCTCACCCACCTCTTGCTCCTTGCTGGGCAGATGAAGAGCAGAACAACAGATCCTCCGAGGCCCACCCACCCCATCAACCGCCCAGAGCCCGTTTTGAGCAAAGCTTGTCAGCGGCTTCCCCTCCTACCAGTATTTCGGGTTTGACCGTTGGGGCTGTCTCAAGTTGAGTGAAGTGGCAAGAACATCCCTTCCTCCTGGACCAGAGATTACCCTCTCTCCCTGCATCAAAGCCTAGGAGTCTAGCACCCCCAAACCTAGTCTGGGGCAAGCCACTGTGCACATCTTCCCAACCCCCTGTTCAGTCATGTGGACGGCTTGAAATCAACCAGCCAGGGCGGGAGAATTTACACCATGGAAGTCGGCAAGCACTACAAATTCAGGACTTTCCCTCCACCCTGGAGGCAGCTACCCGTGCTCCACCCCGGGGAGCTGCTTTTCAAACGCCCGGCAGCACACCACTGGGCACTGCTTGGTTTCCTTCCTGGAGGCCAATATGAAAGGCTGGAGCAGGGTCTTCTGTGGATGACGTCTGTATTCTGGGATTGTGATGGAGGGGCCGGAGTGCTGGGGACTGGGATTTAAGGGTAGATGGGCTGGGAAATGAGGCATTTGGAAGAGATTTTCAAAAACTAAACTCTACTGAGTTCTTGATACAATGTATTCATTCATTCCACAGACATTTTCTCCTCACATCCTCAAAGCATCTGAACCTGCCTTTGGGGAGTTCACAGTCAGTGGGTGGGGGTGACCACTTTAACCCTTTCACAGCTGTTTGCTGGGTCCAGACCCAGGGTTTGGGGCAGGCGGGGAAGGAAGAGATGAAATCAAGGAGGCTGTGGTGTGGCGAGGAGGGGTGTGAGGACAGCACCAGGGAACCTTCACTTTTTAAAGCCAACCCCTTGCGGCTTTGAGGCTGCCGTGGTGCATTGCTTGCTGGTGAGACAAGCCATCTAGGAACCTGGTCTTCTTAGCCTCAGCCTGGTCTGACTCCACAGCTGAGATTTATAAAGGAGGTGTCTGGAGCTGGATGAACCACTCAGAACACCCTCAGCACTTCCCCTGGACCCCTTCTAGTCAAGACGGAGGTTAGACCCGAGAAAGGGCTTTCTGAAGAGTAGAGTTGTCTGCCGGTGCAGAGTGTGTGAGGTTTGCTCAGGGGCACGGGTTGTGCTGAAGGCCTGGCTATGATTTCTCCAAGCTGAGGGCCCCTTGCCATCCCATTCCATGTTGCCTGTCCACTCCTTAACTTGCAAGAGGTAACAGCAAAGCCAGAGCAAAGCCGGTGGGATGTGCAGCAGAGAGAAAGCAACCAGAGCTTGCATTTGCAATGTACTGCACCATTCTCACAACCCAGTCACCTTTCATTTGCATCTCCTCATGACCCCAAGTGGACAGGTATATGAATATTTGGCAGCGGAGAAAGGTGGGAATGAGAGAGTGGGTAGAAGGTCCTAAGCTCTCTAGGGAGAATTTCTCTGTTGAAACCTGTCCCCAGAGGTCCCAGAGGGCCTAACCTGTCACCCTCATGATGAGAACAGGTTCTGCCAGACCACCAAGCCCAGCTCCGCCACTCTCTTACGTCCCTGCTATTTTAGAAAGACATGATCTTGGCCCCTCCCTTGTCCCCACTGGCACAAAAGGCTGACCCCTTCCCCAGGTTTGAAAGGGCAGGTGCACCCCTCCTGGGGCAGCAGGGGGCATTCTCTGGAAGTAGCTTCCAATGCCCACCAAATCAGAACTGATTTCTCCAGGAAGCACCCCTATGCGCTCCACCCGCATCCTCCACCCCCATTCCACAGGGTCAGTCTGGGTGTCCGAGACCCTGGTACTGTTCCTTCTCACATGAAGAGGCTCACTCACCCAGGTCCATGACGCTCTCTGGGCGGTAAAACCACACAGGAAGGCTGTGCCCGGCCTCGCGCTACCCCTGTCTGGGGAGGAAGTGGTTCAAGCCCCTTTTAAGTTGTCAGAAAGCCACCCTCCTCCCTGCCCCTCCCACTCTTGCTCCTCCCCCGAGCCCTCCCTGACTCACGCAGGGTCCCTTCAGTGCCTTCAGAGATAAAGGGGCAGAAGAAAGGTGACAGAGGGTGACAGTCGCTGGTCATAGGATCCTGAATCATCAGGTCATTTACATTCAAAAAGCCCCCTGTGCTGCCTGGCAGAATCTAGATGAGGGGCCATTTATTGATTCAACAAATATTTATAGCGTGAATATCACATGCCAGGCCATGGGTTAGATGTTGGGGAGTCAGAGATGTGTGAAAGAAGTATCCCCATCCTTCCCTTGCTCTGCTCAGAGTCACAATGGAATATAGTCCCAAATGGCTTTCCCTCTGGCTTCTGGGTAGTTTAGGCCAATGGGAGGCACTGACACATAATGACAGGCAAAAGGGAAGACATATGCCACAATGTATCTTTTTTCTCCCCCCTTCCCCTCTCCTTCCCTCCCCTCCCCCCTTCCCTCTTCTCCCCTCCCCTTCCTTTTCCTTTCTTAATGACAGCTTTATTGAGCTATAATCCACATCCCGTAAAATTTACCCTTTTAAAGTATAGAATTCCATGGTTTTTGTAAGTTCACAGAGTTATGAAACCATCACTACAATACATTTTAGAACATTTTTTTTCTCACTCCCACTCAAGAACCCTGTAATCATTAGCAATGACCGCTTCCCTCCCCTCCTGTCGTCAAAAGCCCCTGGCAACCACAATCTACTTTCTGGCTCTATAGATTTTCCTATTCTGAACATTTCACATAAATAGAAGTATTCAGTATGTGACCTTCACATCTGGCTTCTTTCAGTTAGCCTGTTTTCAAGGTTATCCCTGTGGTGGTATGGATCTGTTCGCCATTCCTTTTTATGACTGAATAACATTCCATTGTATGGATATGCCACATTTTGTTAATCTGTCATCAGTTGGACATTTGGGCTGTTTCCCCTTTTAGCTGTTATGAATGATGCTGCTATAAATATTTATGTACAAGTGTTTTTGTGGACATATGCTTTATTTCTCTTGGGTATATACCTAGAAGTGAAATTGTTGAGTCATGTGGTAATTACGTATTTAACATTTTGACGATCTAAGAAACTGTTTTCCAAAGTGACTACACCATTTTATGTTCCCATCAACAATGGGTGAGGATTCCACATTGTCAACAAAACTTACTATTGTCCATTTTTTTGATTCTAGCCATCCTAGTGGCTATAAAGTGGTATCTCATTGTGTTTTTTTTTTTTTTTGGAGATGGAGTCTCATTCTGTTGCCCAGGCTGAAGTGCAGTGGCATAATCTTGGCTTACTACAGTCTCCACCTCCTGGGTTCAAGAGATTCTCCTGCCTCAGCCTCCTAAGTATCTGGGACTACAAGTACGTGCCACCATGCCCAACTAATTTTTGTATTTTTAGAAGAGGTGGGGTTTCACCATGTTGGCCAGGCTCGTCTCAAACTCCTGACTTCAGGTGATCCACCAGCCTCGGCCTCCCAAAGTCCTGGGATTACATGTGTGAGCCACCATGCCCAGCCTAGTTGTGGTTTTGATATGCGTTTTTGTAATGACTACTGATGTTGAGCATCTTTTCATGTGCTTATTGACCATTTGTATTTTTTTTTTTGAGAAATATCTATTCAAATCTTTTGCCCATTTAAAAAATTGGGTTATTTATTTTTTATTGTTGAGTTGTAAGACTTCTTTATATATTCTGGATACAATCACTTATCTGATACATATCTGTAAATATTTTCTCCCACTCTACGGATCATCTTTTCACTTTCTTGATAGTGTCCTTTGAAGCACAAAGGTGTTTTGTTTTTTAAAACCTGAATCTCTGGCAAAAGAAGCACAAAGTTTTAAATGTGAAGGTTCAATTGATTTTTCTTTTGTCAATTGTGTCTTTGGTGCCATATCTAAGAAACCATTGCCTAATTCAAGTATACAAAGATTTATTCTTATATGTTCTTTTAAGACTTACAGTTTTAGCTGCAACATTTAGATCTGATCCATTTTGAGCTAATTGTTGTATATAGTGTGAGGTCGGGATCCAACTTTATTTTTTATGTGGATATCTAGTTTTCCCAGCATCATTTGTTGAAAAGACTATTCTTTCTGCCGTTAAACTGTCTTAGCACCTCTGTTGGAAATCAATTGATCATAAATGTAATGGTTTATTTCTGGACTATCAATTCTATTTTATCAATCTCTGTGTCTGTCCTATGATAGTACCACATTGTCTTGATTACTGTAGCTTTATAGTAAATTTTGAAATTGAGAGGTGTGATTGCTCCAACTTCATCTGTCTTTTTAAAGGTTGTTTGGCTAATCTGCGTCTCTTTCTTTTCCATATGAGTTTTAGGGTCAGCTTATCAATTTCTGCAATGAAACCAGCTGGGATTCTGATAGGGATTGCATTGAATCTGTAGATCAATTTAGGGAGTATTGCCATTCTAACGAAGTCTTTTGGTCCATGAATGTGGGATTATTTATTTATTTATTTAGGTCTTCCTTAATTTCTTTGCATTTTTTAGACTGCAAGTCTTTAACTTCTTTGTTAAATTTATTCTTAAGTATTTTACTCTTTTTGATGTGCTTGTAAATGAAATCGTTTTCTTAATTTTATTTTCAAAAATGGCCAACTAGAAGCAGGTATGGGGCATGGCTCTCTCAGAGAGGAACAAAAGGGGTGAGTACATACAACACCTTTATCTGAAACATGCAGATACTTGCACTGGTACTGATTAAGGAATCAGCTCGACCCACAGAGGAGAGAGAAAAGCAGGGCAGGGCAATGGCCCACATAGGAACAACACAGACTCAAAGGAAACCCTCCCCTCCCCCAACCAGGGAAGCAGTGGGTGAATGTGCAAACCTGGGAAAAGATGCTTCTCCCACCAATCTTTGCAACCTTTGGATCAGGAGATCCCCTGTGAACCCACTCCACCAGGGCTTTGGGTCTTACACACAGAGCTGCACTGGGGTATCGGCAGAGCAGCCACTCAGGCATGCACAGAGACCCAGGAGCTTTATATACTCAGGCTCCGGGACCCCAGCAAAGGTGACTGCAACTCAGGCAAGGCAGGACATCTAGGAAGAAGGCTGAATCGAGGGGGCTGAAAAGCCAAAGTGCCTCCTTCCTTCCAAATGACTGCAGCATCTCTCCAGCAAGGGTTTGGAACTAGGGTAAGGCTGGGATCACTGCAATGAAAGAATTAGACTTCAGAATGTGGATAAAAATGAACTTCACTGAGCTGAAGAGGCAAGTTGTAACCCAATGCAAGGGAGCTAAAAATCATCATAAAACAATGCAGGAGCTGACAGCCAAAATACCTATTATAGAGAAGGACATAACTGATCTGATCAAGCTGAAAAACACACTACAAGAACTTCACAATGCAATCAGAAGTATTCATAGAAGAATGGGCCAAGCTCTGCTTGGTCTTCTGAAAGATTCTTCCTCTGAAAGAATCTCAGAACTTGAAGACTGTCTTTCTGAAATAATACAGGCAGACAAGAATAGAGAAAAAGAATGAAAAGGAATGAACAAAACCTCCAAGAAATATGGGATTATGTAAAGAGACTGAATCTATGACTGATTGGGGTACCTGAAAGAGATGGGGAGAATGGAACCAATTTGGAAAACTTATTTCAGGATATTTTCCAGGAGAACTTCCCCAACCTAGCTAGACAGGCCAACATTCAAATTCAGGAACTGCAGAGAACCTCAGTAAGATACTCCATGAGAAGATCATTCCCGGGACATATGATCATCAGATTCTCCAAGGTAGAAATGAAAGAAAAAATATTAAGGACAGCCAGAGAGAAAGGCTAGGTCACCTGTAAAGGGAAGCCCATCAGACTAATGGCAGACCTCTCAGTGGAAACCCTACAAGCCAGAAGAGATTGGGGGCCAGTATTCAACATTCTTAAAGAAAAGAAATTCCAATGCAGAATTTCATATCCAGCCAAACTAAGCTTCATAAGTGAAGGAGAAATAATATCCTTTCAGGACAAGCAAATGTTGGGGGAATTCATTACCACCAGACCTGCCTTACAAGAGGTCCTGAAGGAAGCACTAAATATGGAAAGGAAAAACTGTTATCAGCCACTACAAGAATACACTGAAGTACACAGACCAGTGACACTATGAAGCAACCACATAAACAAGTCTGCAAAATAACCAGCTAGCATCATGATGACAGGATTAAATCCACACATAACAATACTAATCTTAAGTGTAAATGGGCTAAATGCCACAATTAAAAGACAGAGAGAGGCAAGCTGGATAAAAAACCAAGATCCATTGATATGCTATCTGCAAGAGACCCATCTCACATGCAAAGACAGACATAGGCTCAAAGAGACCTTTAAATAGATGTGGACTCACACTCAGTGATAGCGGGAGATTTTAACACCCCATTAGACAGATCATTGAGACAGAAAATTAACAAAGATATTCAGGACCTGAACTCAGCTCTGGAATAAATGGACCTGATAGATCTCCACAGAACTCTCCACCCCCAAACAGCAGAATATACATTCTTCTAATCACCACATGGCACTTACTCTAAAATTGATCACATGATTGGAAGTAAAATACTCCTCAGCAAATACAGAAGAACTGAAATAATAACAAACAGTCTCTTGGGCAATAGCACAATCAAATTAGAACTCAAAACTAAGAAATTCACTCAAAGCAATACAACCACATGGAAATTGCAACCTGCTCCTGAATGACTTTTGGGTAAATAATGAAATTAAGGGAGAAATCAAGGAGTTCTTTGAAACTAATGAGAACAAAGATACAACATACCAGAATTTCTGGGACACAGCTAAGGCAGTGTTAAGGAGGAAACTTATAGCACTAAATGCCCACATCA